GTGAAATGGGAATCGTGCAATGACGAGAGCCAGATAGAAGAGAATAGAGAGTCATTACAGATACAACAATTAGTAGTCCGAAAAAGATCCAAACAATTCGCTTCTTTTGGAAAACAGCAGCACTAGTGCTATTGTAAATGCTTTAATCATAAAGACATGGGCAACCTAAGAAAACAAATTCGCCGGTCAGTAGAGCAGTAGAGATATTTGTTCAAGTGTGAGGACATGACATTTGAAACGCACTGTAATCGTGAACCAACCGATTATAAATTTAATCATTTTCTTCTTCTTCTTTTTCGCGCTCGCCAGCTGTGAACTTTGGCGGAAAGTTCTGGCTGCTCAATCACTTTTAGGACTGCAGTCCTGTTCCAGAACCTGGGTGTTGCGTGTACATCCGTTTTACAAATCATTTGTATACAGACGGCTGGTTTCTTGTCTCTCAGATAGATGCACTCCGACTTTAAAGGAATCTCCCAGTTAGTCGACATGCCTTTGGGTAGGCAGTGGGTCTGTTCTTGTTTTCCCTATAATAGTGCCCTGGAACCAACACTGATAACAAATTAAATGTAAACGACAATCTTTCAACTGCATAAAATAAAATGCTTCCTCATTACGCATTTATCCCATCATCCAATCAATGCTATTTTTCACCGCTTCCTTCCATTCTGGCTGTTACTAGCTTTGTACTTGGGCTCGACTAATGCTTTGTATAAAAATCACCCTTACTGTCTCTATTTGATAGCTAACAGTAAGAGAGAAGCACTGTTTTACTAGACTCATGTCTTTACCTCAATTCATATTTTGGTCGATCCATCTATCCATCTACCATTCCATTCATCCACAAATACAGTCATCCATCATTCCATCCATTTATCTACCCACCCATCTATCCAGGACACACTCACCCATTCACTCCACCATCCACACATGCCGTTTTCCCATCTATCCCTTCATCGCTTCTTTACATTCTGGTTGTTACCAGTTATACTCTCGGGCTCGACTGATTACTTTTTTATAACAAGCATCCCTACTGTCTCTATTTGATAGCTGACAGTAAGAGAGAAGCATCTTATCACGAGACCCCTGTTTTTACCCGATTCTATATATTAGCTCAAAAAACAGGGAGAGGCAGCCGAAAGGGCCTCTAGCTGGCTTTGGACGCAACACAACAACGTAGGGGACGGGTCTCGGTGAGCTGGTCCGGGTGTCTAGTGGAAAAGGGTTTCTCACCCCTTGAAAGTCCATCGTGTCCGAATTGTCTGCCAGTGATCCTCTGCCACCTGCTAATAAAAGTCCAACATGTGTCCGGTAAACCAATCGTAAGCTTGTCGCTCGGTCGTCCACTCACGCTGACTGCTTTAATTAGGCTGACGCGGCGATTTCTTATCTCACAGTACCTTCTGCAAACCACCAAGTCGTTTTGTCTCTGGCCGAAAGTAAAACACCATCTGGTAATCCCGTGCAGCAGGGAACCAGCCCTGAGCTTCATGAACTCAGGAGGGCCCACCTCCGAATGCGTCTAGGAATCGTGGGCCGAAACGCGTGTCGACGAGGATAATTTCAACTGATGACTGGCAGATCCCTGCTGTACTTGCTCCCTGTGAGTTTATTCCTATAGCAATTCCATTCATCCACCAATATAGCCATCCTTTACCCATCCACTCATCTACCCCCCCCCCCCCCATCTATCTCACCACCCACTCGCCCACTCACCTCACCATCCACCCTAGCTATTTTTTCATTGCTCCCTTACATTCGGTTTTTTAACCAGTTCTGCGCTCGGTTCGACTGATACTTTGTACAACACTCACCCTTACTGTCTCTATTTCATAGCTGACAGTAAGTGAGAAGCATCGTGTCTTGAGACCCTTGTTTTTACCTGATTTCATATATCGACCGATCCATCCATCTATTATACTTTATATCCATCCACGAGTATAGCCATCTATCATTTCGTCTATTTGTCTACCCGCCCATCTACTGCACTACCCACTCATCCATTCACTCCACCATCCACAATCTATCTATCTATCTATCTATCTATCTATCTATCTATCTATCTATCTATCTATCTATCTATCTATCTATCTATCTATCTATCTATCTATCTATCTATCTATCTATCTATCTATCTATCTATCTATCTATCTATCTATCTATCTATCTATCTATCTATCTATCTATCTATCTATCTATCTATCTATCTATCTATCTATCTATCTATCTATCTATCTATCTATCTATCTATCTATCTATCTATCTATCTATCTATCTATCTATCTATCTATCTATCTATCTATCTATCTATCTATCTATCTATCTATCTGTCTGTCTATCTATCTATCTGTCTGTCTATCTATCTATCTATCTATCTATCTATCTATCTATCTATCTATCTATCTATCTATCTATCTATCTATCTATCTATCTATCTATCTATCTATCTATCTATCTATCTATCTATCTATCTATCTATCTATCTATCTATCTATCTATCTATCTATCTATCTATCTATCTATCTATCTATCTATCTATCTATCTATCTATCTATCTATCTATCTATCTAACTATCTATCTATCTATCTATCTATCTATCTATCTATCTATCTATCTATCTATCTATCTATCTATCTATCTATCTATCTATCTATCTATCTATCTATCTATCTATCTATCTATCTATCTATCTATCTATCTATCTATCTATCTATCTATCTATCTATCTATCTGTCTATCTGTCTATCTATCTATCTATCTATCTATCTATCTATCTATCTATCTATCTATCTATCTATCTATCTATCTATCTATCTATCTATCTATCTATCTATCTATCTATCTATCTATCTATCTATCTATCTATCTATCTATCTATCTATCTATCTATCTATCTATCTGTCTATCTGTCTATCTGTCTATCTATCTATCTATCTATCTATCTATCTATCTATCTATCTATCTATCTATCTATCTATCTATCTATCTATCTATCTATCTATCTATCTATCTATCTATCTATCTATCTATCTATCTATCTATCTATCTATCTATCTATCTATCTATCTATCTATCTATCTATCTATCTATCTATCTATCTATCTATCTATCTATCTATCTATCTATCTATCTATCTATCTATCTATCTATCTATCTATCTTTCTATCTATCTATCTATCTATCTATCTATCTATCTATCTATCTATCTATCTATCTATCTATCTATCTATCTATCTATCTATCTATCTATCTATCTATCTATCTATCTATCTATCTATCTATCTGTCTATCTATCTATCTATCTATCTATCTTTTTGTTTGATTATTGCGATCAATTTTTTCAAGCTAAGATAAACTATTTGTTGTTTCTTACCAACTTTTTCTCTTCCCTAAAATTTTCTACTCCCTTTACAAACTCATTGTTCATGTAGTGTTCTAATAAACGTCATAACTAGAGCTGTACCGAATATTCGCTTCGTGTTCGCTTCGGGACCGAATAGTGGACCTATTGACTATTCGGTATTCTGCCGAATAGTTGCAGTCGGGCCGAATACGAATAGTAGTTACCTTACACCCGCTTCTGCCACACGACCTTAATACTGACAACATGGAACGATTGGTTTTGTTGAAAGCTTATGCAGCTTTCATGCATTAACTAAGCTGTCCAAGTTAAGTTACTTGTTATATACTTAGGATTCTTTCATTCCTAGTTATTAGTTACAACAGACTGACTGAAGGATGCAAAACATAAAATATTTTTTAATGTTTACCATTCTGTACGAATACTGACTAGACATGGAAAGAATATAAACTCCGGCCACATCCAAGTCGATAATATTAAAATCAAACGAACAAAAACATATAAGTACTTGGGTGCAAACTTCAACTGCTCCAACATGCTGAGAGAAGAAATACAATCTGGAATACAATCTAGAAATAAAGTATACTGAGCCCTTCAACATCTGCTAAAGTCAAAGTGTCTGTCTCGCAACACCAAGATCAAAATTAATAAAACTTTGATAAGACCAGTCGTTTTATATGGCTCTGAAACTTGAAGCAGAAATAAAAAGAGATGAGGCCTTATTACAGGGTTTTTTTTTCGAAAACAGTTCTACGACAAATCTTTGGACCCATCAAAGATGCAAACAGCGGGGAATGGAGAGTGAGAAGCAACAACGTAACACATAACCTGTTTAAATCAACATTGATCACTGGCATCATGAGAGCTAACAGACTAAAATAGTTGGGGCATATTGAAAGAATGTCAGAGGACAGAGAAGTAAAAACTGTATGCACCTGAGATAGGAATGGGCGTAGACCACGAGGCAGACAAAAAAGAAGTTCGAGAGATAATGTCCAGACAGACATGCAAACAACCGGTGTCACAAATTGTGAAGATAAGGCCAGCAAGGGAGATGAATAGAGACGAGTGATATCTGCAGCAGTAAACCTCAAGGGCTCAGAAGGCTAAAGAAAAAGATGACTATTCTGTGCTACTTTATGTGAAGTAAAAGTTCAGCGTACGTTTGACATTATGAATGTGTGTTTTTTTTTTTAAGAAATATTTTATACACTATTCGTATTCGTATTCGTATTCGGCCGAATAGTTGGTCCCGCTATTCGTATTCGGCCGAATAGTGAAAATCACTAGTCATAACCACTTACACGAAACAAATGCATTCATTTCAGGTTACTCGCGATCATTTCAAAATGAACCGTGCGACAAGGCGTATCAATGCCCCGACACCAGCTACAGACCTGTGTGTGGGAATGATACTGTGACCTATCACAATGCTTGCTACATGGGGGCGGCTACCTGCTCTCGAGTGAAGGTTCTTTACCCCGGCAAGTGTATTGGACCAGACACCCCTCCCGCTTGTCGGCAAATCCCAGCTTGTAATTCCATTTACGAGCCAGTCTGTGGAAGTAACGGGGTCACCTATGATAACGATTGTTATTTTAGGGCACAAACGTGTGGAACAGGCATCACAGTTAGACGTAGTGGGGAATGCCTGCTACCCACCCCTCGTCCTCCTTGCGACCCTAACAGAGCCTGTAATTTGCTTTATGACCCAGTGTGTGGAAGTGACGGCGTCACCTATGGTAATCAGTGTTTCTTTAAAAGATACACGTGTGGAACAGAAATCAGGATTTCACACAGAGGGAGATGCGACTACAACTCCTACTCCTGATGTCTGAACCTGAAGCAGTACAGCTTGTCTTCGGAACTACCCACACAAGTGTGTAGGTGGCATTATCAATAATAATCTTTTCATTCTTCAGTCATTGCCATGTATTACACTTGTAGAACTTCTAATGTAATATTAGTAGTAGCAGCAGCAAAAGCAGTAGAATTAGTATTAGTAATATGTGTAATAGAAGTGTTATTGATGATACCTGTTCAATCCTTCTAGGTTATAGTTTATATAATCGTTGTCTCTTCTGGTGTAGGATATTTAGATTTGTCCATTAATTCTAGCTATTTCATTCTCCATATATTACTTCTTTATATTACCAGATCCTTTTTTTTTTCTTCTTCTACTTCTTTACCTTTACCAGCTGTAAACTCCAGTTCTGGTTGCTCGTTTACTTCTAGACCTTAGTCCACGCCAGGACTTGGGCATTGCTTGCATATCTGTGTTATAGATCTGACTTTTTTGCGTGTATACTTTTGGTTGCTTACATCTCAAACATATGCACTCCGACTTCAAAGGTAAACTGTAACAGATCCTACAATGATAGATTATAAAAACTTTAGTATTACTGAGTTTGATTTATAGCTGCATCATATGTATCAATCTCGAATGCATTTAATGCGAGGAGAAAGTTATTCATTTATAATTTTAGATTTATTTCTTTTTTTTTTTTTTACATGCAGATGTAAGAAAGGAACATGCCAAAATTAACTGTGCTGGTTTTAATGCAAATAAACTAGTCGTTTCAGGTGAAAATTTCAGATTTTTTGTTTTATATTATTGTGTGTGTGTGTGTGTGTGTGTGTGCGTGTGCGAGTGTGCGTGTGTGTGTGTGTGCGTCCGTGCGCGTTCGTGTGCGTGCGTGCGTGCTTGCGTGCGTGCGTGTGTGTGTGTGTGTGTGTGTGCAAAACATGTTTATATATAATATTGTTGAAATCTTTCAGCCATTCAGTTCTTTACTACTTGGACGCAGTGGTACTTCTGCTGCTTCAAATCTTTTAACTACCGGGAAACGACACAAAATGTGATAGTACGAACATGTTATAAGAGCTAACGGCCTCTCAAAACAACACTACAGAGCTCACTATAGTGGAAGAGGAGAACAGACAGACCAAGAACAGCAACAACAACAAAACTGTAAACAGAACGTGACTGACTGGACATGCAACCATAAAGTCCATTGCATCTGACCGTCAAATGTGAGGCAGCTGATCAGGCAAGGCCGTCTGTAACTGAAGGGTGGTGGGGCTGATAACGTCAGCTTGATGTGACGTCACCACCACGGGCTAACGATGCGATGATTTTACGCTGATAGTCCCGTCTTTTTCCGTGTGTTCCCGGCTAAACTCCCCACACAAAATTCTAGGAATAAGCTCGAAAATAGAACATGTTTATCGGTATATACACAGATACATGCTAAAAGCGAACGCTAGAGAAACATAATTTATAATTAAAGAATTAATTAATTAATTAGAGTGGCTTATACAGTTGAAAGGCTTATGTAATCTTGTCTTTTTAAAGTGTATTAGTTTTGAATGAAAAAAAAATGAAAATGAATTCTAGACGTGGGAGCGGTGGTGGGGTGGGGGGGGGGGGGCTGACTTGCTTAAGATGTCTAATTTTCAGCTCAAGATAGACAGAACAACAAAAGAAGCAGACAGTACAACAGAAACTAAATGAATTTTTGCTGGTGTTTATCCACCTAATTCAATGATAAGTAGTGAGTGGACTTAGTCATCTACTGGCTGTACTACTTACGTCATCCACTCAGCCAAGATTGTGTATCTGGTGTACTACTGACATCTTCCACTGAGCCAAGATTGTGTATCTGTTGTACTGCTGACATCTTCCATTGAGCCAAGATTGTGTATCTGTTGTACTGCTGACATCTTCCATTGAGCCAAGATTGTGTATCTGTTGTACTGCTGACATCTTCCATTGAGCCAAGATTGTGTATCTGTTGTACTGCTGACATCTTCCATTGAGCCAAGACTGTGTATCTGGTGTACTACTGACACCATCCACTAAGCCAAGACTGTGTATCTGGTGTACTACTGACACCATCCACTAAGCCAAGACTGTGTATCTGGTGTACTGCTGACATCATCCACTGAGCCAAGACTGTGTATCTGGTGTACTACTGACATCTTCCAGTAAACCAAGACTGTGTATCTGGTGTACTACTGATATCTTCCAGTAAACCAAGACTATGTATCTGGTGTACTACTGACATCCTCCAATAAACCAAGACTGTGTATCTGGTGTACTAATGACATCTTCCAGTAAACCAAGACTGTGTATCTGGTGTACTACTGACATCTTCCAGTAAACCAAGACTGTGTATCTGGTGTACTACTGACATCTTCCAATAAACCAGGACTGTGTATCTGGTGTACTACTGACATCTTCCACTGAGCCTAACGGGGTCTCTCGTGTACTGCTTACATCATCTTTTGTTGGTATTTTTGAAGCCTGTTTATTTATTATATTGCTCAATGTTTAAGGAAACGAGAGTGCTCGCTGAAATCCTTGAACAAGGAGACAGTCAAGAATGGACGAAACAACGACTGCTTTCTGTCGGAATTCACAGCCAGTGAACGTTAAGAAGGAGTTCTTAGCCAGGTTCCTTGCCAGTGGTGCGGGCTATCATGCCTCTCCATATTTTGCTATCCGCAACTTTGTGTATCAGTACGTGTGTTGACACCCCTCCATACCATGACGGAAGCTTGTCAAGAATCTTTTCGCGCTGTCTTCCTGTGTCTTATTTTCACTAATCTTTCTAGTGGTCACAACAGTTCCAGTTTCCCTCTTCTCATACAATGACCCCCCCCAAAAAATGATAAGTTTATGATAAGTAGTCCTCGAGCGCTTGTCTATCTCAAAATATCTCTGCTGCTCCTCTTTAGCTGTCCAAATCCACATCTACGAAGGAGATTAGCTTTGAATCATTTATAAAAGGGATAAAGATTGCAACCTAAGGAAAATAGACGGTGTACTTATGTGAGGCTGTTAAAAGAATTAGCAAGCATTAGCAAGCTTTTGTTATAAACACCTTGAAATCAATATATTTATGCTTGCTTTTATATTTTACAAGACATCCTGCTACCCCTTGAAGCTGAGTCTAGGTCAGAGGCTCAATCAATAAAGAAAATTCAAGTCTTAAAGGAGAACTTTCAAACACTGAAGAATATCAGTTAGAATCTTAGTATCATATAACAGCCCACACCCCTCTGGTCTTGACCAGTCCACATGTTGTACACCTCTGTAAATGAACTATTTCAATCGTGGACTCTCCTCAATATGTAAATAGTTCTTCTTTTGTACTTATGTTTCAAGGTGTCGGGATAAGTACTCAATTACATTATAATTCTTTTGGGAATTAAGTGTATTTTAATTAAGCCATATATGTTTAAGTTTCACTTATAGTGAAGCCAAATTTCATTAGCCTTACTACTGCTTTCGACGCGTATGAATCCCATCCCAAATATAGGCGAAGGGCTGCTTAGATTTGGGACTAATACTGACTGAGCTTCCTGAAAAAGCAGATGGCTTTCTGCCTTACCTGTCTATCTGCTATACCTCCTTTGGAAAGTCACCGATTCACCGGGGAACTTTAATGAGCACTGTAGAATAATATTACGGAAGCATTCAGCACTGCTGCTAAGTGCAAGATAGATTTGGCTATGTGAAGCAATGAGACTAGGCCGTGAAGCCATTCAAACTTCAGTAGAGCACGAACCCTAGCGTTCACCTACATGCCTATGAAAGTTCTCTCCTTATACTGCCTCAATGGGTTCCAGACAACTTGGACATTGATTTGCTCATATTCTATATACATATGCACCTTTTTACTGGAAAAGAAACGAACAGGCCAAGACAGATCATGTCGATTCGTTCTCAACTGGGATCATGCTTTTTTCTTTTTTTTTAGTAACGTGTTTCGGCTGAGGCTAAGTCTTCATACTTAAATATTACTATTTCTAGGATTTGCCTGTGTGAGAATAAGTACCCTTTACTGGAAAGTAACTGAAGTTATACTTCTGGTGGTCGGCTAAGGCAGACTATTGCTGTCACTAGAGAGTGGTGTTGGACCGAACCTAGCTTCCTTTTAGCTAGGCAACAACTGCCTCGACCAGAGGGTGGCCTAGAGTTTAGTAGAGAACCTTTTAAAAATAACAAAGAACCTTCCAGCTTAAACATGTTATTAAATGCAATGAACACTATAGTTATATAAACTATAAATATTCAAGATTTCTTTCAACTCCAGTAGATTATTAACTGTATTAATCAATTTTGGATTCACAAGGCTTTAATTATTCTCAATGTCAGCTTTAGGAAGATGCTGCACTTCGGATGAACAGGACCTCCTGGACACATAAGTTGTGGTGGCTAGAGATAGCTGTTACTCATAACACCAAGTGCCGGCCACCTAGGTCCATTATTCAGCAGTTTGCCAATGATGAGAATTGCTGATGCTGGAGTTAAACCAATAGTCCATCTGGAGTAGGGAATTCGTTCGACTCCACTAAAGTTAACTTTGTCTTGCTGAATCGATTTCTTCACATCTTTACTTGTGTTGCACTGATTACATAATCTTCTTTTATTTTAAATTCTGAGGTTAGTGTCTATCCTTCACAGTTCTTAAGTTATCTGAAAGGCATGCTGTGTTGTAATTCATTCTGAACTGTGTTAATTTGACTAGCATAGGTTACTATCTAGTCTGGGGCCTTAAAAGTAGTGGCGAATATTTATTAACTCTGTAGTGCCATAATTTGAGTCGCCTCGACCCGCAAGTAGGTTGGATGTTCTTTGAAACTGCCGGATACCACCTAGACCATTGCAAGCCAACATCTCAACACTTAAACTACTTCAGAGTGTCTTTTTGGTTCATTAGGGGAAACCCTAAAAAAAAAAAAAAACGACTGAAACCAGCGTTATGTGACAGTTAGACTGCTGGGGAACGTTGGACTGCCGGTTCAGATGTCGGACGATGAATAAATTAAAGGTACTGTTCACGCTACTAGTGCATTCTATATAGTTCTAGACCAGTCAAACAATTAATTAGTCAATCAGGTGCCATCTCAACAATGAAGGTTGGCTGCAATAGATCCGCAACACTCTCTTGTCTTAGTTGTACTCATTCTTAGACTACTGTTCGTCTATCTCTTGATGCTGCACACCCACATGTATTGCTGTCTACCTCTTGCTCTCTTGCTCTGTACCTTTCACTCCAGTGTGCTTTTTTAAAGAGTGTTATGGCTTTTTTATGTGGCCAAACACTTTCATTTGGCTCTTTGCTTTATTTCAGTTTATTTATTTCAACAACTCTCTTCAGTCGCTGTGGAACCTCTAAATTTTATTGTTTTTGTTGCCATTAGATGCTATCTATTCTCCTTCTTCTTCAGCATTCCGAGCTCTTCATATATCACCTGCCTCCATTCATTTCTCTGGTTGGCATTTTCTTTGCAGTTTGTGACACCAAGTGTTTGCAGGTCTGTCTATGTATTACTTCTCCATCGTCTTCTTGATCTGCCTCGTGGTCTACGACCATTCATTTCCCTCGTGTATACAGTTTTGAACTTCTCTGCCCTCTGACATCTTTCAATATGGCCCAACCATTTCGGTCTATTAGTTCTTATGATGCCAGTTATCAGTGGTGATTTAAACAGATTATGAATTTCTTTGTTGCTTCTCACTCTCTATTCACCGTTGTTTGTATCTTTGATGGGTAGATGCTGCCTATGCTTCTGTAAATACTACTTAATATCCAGAGATGCAATTAGATTTTCTAGTTGTATGTTCTTAGTCAAGGACAAAATTATACAGATAAGACAAAGATTCTTTCGAAACTTGTGCCTTGTGCAAGCTCTTTGACGGCATTGAAACCTAGACTCTGTATGCTCCTCAAGAAAAGAAAAAAAAATATTAACAGTTTTCCACATGCGCTTTATGAGACGCATACTTGGTGTATCATCGCATGACTTTGTTCTTAACGAATGTGATTATAAAAGAGTAGGAATGCCAACAATGTACTTTCTACTGAAGCAAAGACGATTGCGTTGGTTTGGTTATATCGCTCGCGTGGAGGACGGTCGTGTCCAATGCATGTCGTGTATGGTGAAATGGATACAGAAAAAAGAAGACTAAAGCTACGCTATAAGGAAACATGTAAGCGGAACCTGAATGATTTCAATTTTGAGATAGAGACCTGGTAGAAATATACTGAAGATCGACTCCATTGGAGACAGACAGTGAAAGACTTTCGCAGTTTGAAAGAAGCTAAACGCAGCAAGCTATAGAGGAAAGACGTCAGAAAGAGAGAAAAAAAAAAGACAAGCCTCAAAACGACACAGATTCAACTTTTATACAGATTATGTGACATAGACTGTTACTTTCACACCGGACTTTATGGTCTTGGCAGACGCTGTTCCCAGAACCAGCCACACAACCCCCATGGTTCCCAGGCAACGGATGTTTTCTGCACCACACAGAAGGGCTGAGTATTGGTACTACATTTATACAAACACAATATCTTAAGAAAAAAGTTCTAATACAATCAGTATAGATCACTATTATTATGAGAAAGTGCACATATCAGACTAGCTAATCCACTCACAAACATTAAACTATTATTTGCTAACGCCAGGTGCTTGCTCTATAGCGAAGAAAATGCATCTTTGGGAAATGGGTTGAGCGGGGGGGGGGGGGGGGGGGGGGTGTTCTGATGAATACCCTCACCTATTTAGATATTTTTGGGTGGGTATATTTTTGTCTTTAAAAAAAGACCTGAATATATAATATATATATATATATATATATATATATATATATATATATAGACACGCACTCTCGTGCGCGCGCGCACACACACACACGCTGGCCTCCAAAAATATGATTATTAGTTTTGTTTTTAAATACAAATATATGACATAATCCATTGTATTTTACCATTCATTTATAACTAAACACAAATATATGACATAATCCATTGTATTTTACCATTCATTTATAACTAAACACAAATATATGACATAATCCATTGTATTTTACCATTCATTTATAACTAAACACACACGCTACGCAAATGATAATTAATTCCTATGTTTTCTTTTGTAATTGCCTTCTTTATTTCATTTTTCTTTGCAAGCGATTAACATGCTCCTTGGCGTTCTACCGTAACGCCTTGGCCACAGGTTTGAGTTTCCAGGCTGCACTGGTTGGGGTAGGTGACTCCGTTAGTTCCACAAACAGGCTGGTAGATAAATGTACAAGGCGCATTTGGGTCACATGCAACAGTCGGCGTGGTTTCACACTCACCATCGTGTGCTACATTCACCTCTCTACCACATGTCTTAGATTTAAAGATGCACTCGTTGGGGTATGTGACTCCGTCAGTTCCACATACAGGCTGGTAGATAAATGTACAAACCGCATTTGGGTCACATGCAACAGTCGGCGTGGTTTCACACTCACCATCGTGTGCGACATTCACCTCTCCACCACATGTCTTAGATTTAAAGATGCACTGGTTGGGGTAGGTGACTCCGTCAGTTCCACATACAGGCAGGTAGATAAATGTACAAACCGCATTTGGGTCACATGCAACAGTCGGCGTGGTTTCACACTCACCATCGTGTGCGACATTCACCTCTCCACCACATGTCTTAGATTTAAAGATGCACTGGTTGGGGTAGGTGACTCCGTCAGTTCCACATACAGGCAGGTAGATAAATGTACAAAGCGCATTTGGGTCACATGCAACAGTCGGCGTGGTTTCACACTCACCATCGTGTGCGACATTCACCTCTCCACCACATGTCTTAGATTCAAAGACGCACTGGTTAGGGTAAGTAACTCCGTCAGTTCCACAAACAGGCCTGTACATTCTATTGCAAGCTGCATTTGGGTTGCAGGCTTCAGAAGGAAGTCTTGATGAGCAACCTGGAATGTATGGAATAATTCGTAAATAGTAATAGTCGTCTCCATGTGTGATGCAATTTTTCGTTATTTAAAGCTCCACCATAGCTTTTGTCAGGAGCTCTAAATATAGCCGGGCCATAAATTTGGCCTAATGGTTGAACAGGGTTTCTGAGATCCTCATCCGCATCGTGGCACTTTGTGTCACCGGGTTTTCATCGCTATGTGTAACGTCCTGGTGGGGTACAACATACACACATACACACGTAAGTACGTGGGTACGTACGTTCGTTCGTACATACATACAATAACTGGTAACAACCTTTGCGGTTGAATCCTAAGTTTACTGGTAAAGTAAGAAAAAGAATGTAATGGACCCGCTTCCCACAATTATGCTATAAATGCTAAATATAGCACAACAAAATTTGAATAGAAAATTCAAAGAAGGGAATGGAAAAGTCGCACACAATCATAACCAAACTCGTGAAGTCTTTATCAACAGAGCATTAAAAAAGGCACAAACTGTGACTTCAAAACTCAACAGACAAGACAACAGAGGTAACATTTAAAAACCCTGGTCAACAAGAAGTGCGTAATCATGAAGGGGGCAAGGGTATAAATATGAAGAGCCATAATACGAAACGAAATAAGGAAGAAGTATGTAAAAGGGAGGGTAAATATGAATAAGTATATTAAATAAACAAGTAAATAAATTAAATTCAATTAAGCTGTGTTTAATATTAATACCTCTAGGACTAAGAACGCAAAAACTATGGATGAAACGATTTTCTAATGAGTAGCGATTGGTTTGATCACCGGAGCAAGATTAAATAGCAGTGACTCAGACATCTTTTTCGCTTTGGTGGTCCAGAAAATTTAATACATGAACTGAACATTATTTCATAAACGAGCATCTTCAGTACAGCTAGAATCTGATTATAGGTTCAAAACGGATTGAGTGAAGGATAAGTACTCTCACCCTGCCTCTTCAAAATACAGAGTTAGCCAAACAAATATTTACACGATAATCGCCTAGCGGTTAAATGCATAAACATTTTCAGAGGCTATTTGTTTAAAAACTTCATCGTTACCTGACATATAAGGCCATACTTGGATCTAAATACGGTATCTATGTGGTGTTTTGTCGGTTCTGTGGCTAAGTCGATGCGAATGTTTCGTAATGCCGTGATGCCGGGTTCGATCCCAGCTGCGGGGTCCATGCGCCTTGCGTTGGTTTCGACAGTGGCATCAAGAAAGCCGACTGTCTAGAAAGCAATAGCAAACTACTGGACGCAAATTTGCCTAGAAAAACCACACAACAGCCAGGGGCTGTTGGGATTGGTTCTGCAACGTCCTGCAAAGGATACGCAATTTTTTTTTTATGTGGTGTTTTATGGTTATGAAAAGTGTCTGGAGGATAATGGGAATCACTTTAAGCACCTGTAATCTTCTTCTTCTTCTGCCTTTCTATCCCCCAATAGAGCATAGGCCCTCAACCAACTCACGCCAAGTCGTTCTATACTTCGCTATTTCATGGAGCTCTCCCCCATGTCCTCTCCATCTTTCTAAGTTCGTTCTACAGCTCTCTTTTCCATGTGTTTTTGGCCTTCCTTTATTCATATGCCCCTGTGTGTTCCAATGCAAAGACATTCTAGTTGCCCTGTTCTCCGGTTTTCTCAGTGTGTGTCCTATCCAACGCCAGCTTCTTTTCCTCCCCCATTGGTCCACTGGAACTTGCTTATTTCTCTCCCAAAGCTCTACATTAGTTATTCTATCATAACATTTAATTCCCTCTTTTATGCACAGGCACCAGTTAATTTATCAGATATTATTAAATATAATGAGAAATGTAATTTGTTAGAAATTATTTAATGTATCGAGAAATGTCCAAAATGACCAGACGTGACAGTTATGATCCGCTCAAAATTTTAGGCAACCCTATTCCGGAACTTCGCTACGCAGATGACACAGTCCTCGTTCGAACAGCGTAAAGGGAAAAGAAAATGTAATATTGTCTGCCTGAAAGCACAGTGAAGATCAAAATCTGTTCTTGAATTTAACGAAAACGACAATAATGTTCCCAGATAAAACTGGCTGTCACCCAAAATAACAATAAATGGTGAGGAAATTGAAAATGTCACAAACGTTGAATATCTAGGCTTTGTAATAAAAAGCAATGGAGACTGTTTGACAGAAATTAAAAGGAGGATGGCCATAGCAGTGCAAAGATTAAACAGCCTAAAAAGTCTTTGGTTATGCGCCAGCAAGGAGATCAAAATTATAATTCTGAGAGCACACATCTTCCCTGTAGTAACATACGGATATAAGTCGTGGACTACCTCCCAGTTTCTGAGAAGGAGAATAGGAGCTTATGAGCTGAAATGCTATAGAAAGATTCTCAGAATATCTTGGACGAAAAAGAGTAGAAATACTGAAATCTTGACAGATCTGAACATCAAGGAAGATTTGCTAATAAACAGCATCCTGTCTCGGAAGCTGAAATATTTTGGTCATATCACGACGGATTAGGAAAAATTATAGCAGAGGGCATGGTACTAGGAAGGAGGGGCAGGAGCCAACCGACACAAAGATGGGAACAGGATGTGAGTGACTCCTTGAGTATAAAAGCGCATGAGGAGGAAGGACTGGCGAGAGACTGAGTTTCTTTCAGACAGACTGTGATGAGAGCGACGTTCTGCAAAAGACCTGCTACGTAATGAATTTATTGGTAATTGCCTTAGTTGTTCTCCATGTTTCCGCCCATTACAAAAGTACCGATTTGACATTAGAATTAAAAATTCTAAGTTTAGTATTTCTTTTAATTTCTTTTGACCTCCACAAATTCCCTAGTGCTATGCGAGCTCCTTTTGCCTTTAGTATTCTTTTTTTTTTTTATTTCCCTATCACCTAGAGCACCGGCAGTGACTTCATACATCACATCTACCATGTAAGCATCGCTTGGTATTTGAATGAAATTAGTATCAAAATGTTTATACAGGTAGTTATTTTAAAAACACATTGCCACCGTAATGTTTTTAAGAATGCAAAAATCCCACATTTCACTGCTTAGCGATTACTGTGCATGCATGTTTCTGGCTAACTCTGTATGTGAATAAAACATAAAAGGAAACTTCAAAAATCATGAGTTGGGGGCAGGTAGAATTTAATGTTATCGTTCCTTTACACTTGTTGAAATATAACTGGTAGCATTTCAATTCCGAAACTCCTATCTACAGACAACATAGTCATCCTTTCAACAAGTGTAAAGGAACGAAAACATTAAATTCGACCTGCCCCCAAACACAGTGGGGATTTAAATATTCTTTTCCCAAAATTTCAAGGACAAAAAAATTTACATTTTCCAAAGCACAGTGGCTAAACTGTTGCTTGCCAACCATACAAGCTATGCTTCCAACTCTCATTAAGCCCTAATTGTTATAATAGATCTTGGCTCCCAAGTCGACCCAGCCAAAAATAGGTGCTAGAAGACAAGGCCCTGCTATGATACAGAGATGCAATCGCAACAGGCGGCACCGTAAGGAAAAAAAAAGGGAGGTGGTATAGCAAAAGCAGCAAAAAAAAAAAAAAATACAATTGGAACTTTTGCTCTAACAGTGTCAAGCTATTAGGAGCGGCGTTTCGAAAGCATACATTATACAGAAAACATCTTCACCACGAGACTACCAGAAGTTGTCATAGGAAGTCGATTCTGCTGGGGTGATGTCTACCACACATAGATTCGCTGACAAAAAGAAACATTGGGATGGAAAAAGGGAGGGTGGGGCAGGGGTAGGCAAGGCTCGTTACACATCTCAAGACGGTGGGAAAGGTGTCCAAAGCCTAAGCTCTTGTGTAATTGCCCACCAAATAATAATAATAAAAATAATAATAATAATAAAAAAATAATAATGAATAAAATGCTGAATTACAAACATATTATAATATTACGTATATTAAAAAGTATTCATTAGTAAACAAAAAAGATTTTTAAAATGATTTCCGTATATGCTTGGGGAGACAGTGTTACAACTTAGATGAGACAGGGGGAGTGATGGTGAGTTTATAGACATTTAGAGTAAAGATTCATATGTGCTCTGTTGGTATTTCGGTAAATGACAAACAACAGCCATGAAGTTCGGTCAAAAATATTCAAAATTGTAGTTAGGAAACTAGCTTAGTGAGAATGCTAATTGTCACTAGTTAGTGATGTTCAGCCCAAACAAGGACCATGCAAATAGAGATAACCCCCGCTGACACAAAGTGTTACCATCTGTAAAATAATACCCCAGGAGTAAGTCCCTGAAACTCCGATCCACCGTTGGGTTATAATATGGCCTTAAAATAACAACAAATTGTGTCCCTTATTGAGAAGGGGCTTGGTTAAAATAACAACAAATTGTGTCCCTTATTGAGAAGGGGCTTGGTTAAAATAACAACAAATTGTGTCCCTTATTGAGACGGGGCTTGGTTAAAATAACAACAAATTGTGTCCCTTATTGAGACGGGGCTTGGTTAAAATAACAACAAATTGTGTCCCTTATTGAGACGGGGCTTGGTTAAAATAACAACAAATTGTGTCCCTCATTTCACAGGGCTTGTAATAATTATTATGACAGTTAATGAGAAGAAACTAGACCCTATCAGATATCCTCAACATTGTCTTAACATTTAAATAACTGGTTTAATTCGTTAAATGTATGATTATATTTAACATTTACCTGACTGCAGTACAGCCAGCAACAAGGCAACAGTGACGGTTTTCTTGAACATGTTTCAATCTGAAGTCTTCTTCAAGCGTCAAAATCTGATGATCTGTATTGTTAGAGATTTCTGTATGTTTATATACCTTTTCCATGCACGGACATATAAAAACACACGCAGATATCATATATAAAGTAAAGACAACCAGGGAGTAGTCAAAAACAAATATTTCGTTTTCCGAAGGTGCACAAACATTCAAGACCGCCATCTTGTCAGGAGTTCTCACCAACAGTTGCTATAAGTAAACACAAACTCTTGAATAAACTCATTGCAAATGATACCATTTATCCTTACCAGCAGTGGGAGAAACAACATATGTAGCCGTTAAGGGTATCTGAATTAGACATTCTTTCTAGGTTGAACTGGGTATCTCCAATTCGCCTTGCTGGTCCGGGCTGAGTTTTTAATAGGATGTCAAACTTTCTGGTAATAGATAGGAAAGAAAGGGGGAAAGAGATGGGGGCGGGGAGGGAGTGGGGGTGGGGTGACACGCATGTATAGTGCTCATTAAAGTGTTTAACAATATGCGATTAAGAACTATGCTAGCGAACTAACGAACTAATGAACTTACTTTTTAAAGGGTGACAAAGTTGACACGCAGGCCCTTCTTATATCAGGACTTTTCAAACACTCGTCTTTCACAGAACAATTATATTTCATTCATAAGTCTTCTTGTAATAATAACAATATAATACAAAGTAACAAATATGAAAGTGTGGAACGCAAACGGATGTCCGTGGTAGCACAGTGGCTAGATGAATGACTAACGTGTGTCTGTGTGTGTATCTGCGTGTGTGATTGGGTATGTGCGCGTATGTCTGTTTGTGTGTGTGTGTGTCTGCATTTGTTTCTATGGGTGTGTCTGTGTATTTATATCTGTATGATTTATGTGTGTGGAATGTGCGTGTCTGTGTGGGTATGAAGGTGTGTATGTGGGTCTGTTTATGTGTGTGTGAAGGTATGTGGGTGTGTTTAAATGAGTGGGTGGGTTGGTGTGTGTGTGTGTATACATTTTACAACTCATTCTTTTGTGCTTTTTCGATATTCATAATATGCATATTATAATATAAATATAACATGCTTATTGATAAAATACAGCCGCAGTGTGAAAGTCGGGTGTTTAGAAGGGCCGAATGTAAGACGGGCCTGCGTGCCCAAATTGTGACCCTTTGAAAATAAAGTTCGTTCGTTCGTCCCACCACCATTATCAAGGATACCGAGTTCTGCTTGTTGATCTTATTTGCGATATGAATCTCCCATTGCCTTAATGACAGCACCACTGTCTAGTACCGAGTTAGTCATAGTAATCGCCTTGATCGCCAGATAATCTGCATGTTCATTGCTTTAAACGGATAAACTTCTTCTTCTTCTGCCTTTCTTACCCCCAATGGAGCATCGGTCCTCAACCAAGTCACGCCAAGTCGTTCTGTCCTTCGCTATGGCACGCAGTACTCCCCATGTCCTCCACATCTTTTTAACTTCACTCTCTAGCTTCCTTTTCCGTTTGTTTTTGTCTACCTTTATTTATATGCCCCTGTGAGTTCCAATGCAAAGATTTTCTAGTTATGTTGTTCGTATGTCCTATCCAACGCCAGCGTCTTTTCTTCTCCTCTTATTCCACTGGAATCTGTTTAGCTCTCCTCCAAAGCTCCATATTAGTAATTCCATCATACCATTTAATTCCCTCTTGTTCTGCGCAGATACCAGTTAATGAATGTTTGTAGTTTGTTTTTAATTGCATTAGGTATCTCAATGTTTCCTCTCTATACAATAGTAGTGATCTGAAATTAGAGTTGAAAATGTTGTTTAGTAATAGTTAATTTCTTTTGACCTCCACAAATTTCCTAGTGTTATTAAAGCTCCTCTTGCCTTTTGTCTTCTTATTTTAACATCTCTATCAGTTTCTCTACCTTTATCTACATTACTGCCCAAGTAGATGTTCGACTGCACGTCTTGGAGTAGGACAGAGAAACCACATTGCCATATGCTTGATTTATTCTCATTATCTTTGTCTTTTCCGTGTGGATTTTCAGACCTATCTATTGCGATCTCGCATCAAGTATATTTAATTTATCTTGCATTTGATTCCGTGAGGGGGACAGAAGAGAAATATCATCGGAGAAATCCAGATCATTAAGCTGTTTTGTAATGGTCCACTGAATTCCATTCCTGGTGTTAGCATTTGCTTTTTTCATAATTCAATCTATTGCCATTAAAAATAGGAGAGGCGACGAAACACGTCGTTTTCGCACCCCTGTTTTTATTTTGAATGTATCTGTTAGATTTCGTTTACCAAGAACTCGAGATTTCATGTCTTTGTATGTTGCCTTTACTGGGTTAACAATTTTCTCTGGGATAGCGCCACGTCAATTCCCATAGAGATTCCCTATCAATGTTATCATCGGCTTTTTCATAGTCTATGAATCCAATGTAAAGTGGTAAATTTATTTCGATGCTCTGCTCATTTCAGTACAGGATTTGTTTGGCTGAAACCTACCTGTTCGTCTTTTAGCCTTGTATCAATAGAACTTTTGAGTCTTTCTGAAATAATCCTATTAATATCTTACCAGAAACTGACAGCAACATATGTCCGCTATAGTTCTCACACTTCTGTAGATCCCCTTTATAAGCAGTTTCACAAAATATCCTTTCCAGTCTACTTGTATTTATTCGGTCTACGAGACTTTACTACAAAAATCTATGTAGCAATTCAGTTGTTGTTTTTATGTTGGCCTTATAGCTTCTGCTAGGATACCATATGGACCTGCCGCCTATCCTTCCTTTAGAAGATAAATAGCTTTTCTAATTTCCTCTTTAAATGGTATCTCACAGTTGATATCCAGTTCCACTTCTAAGGGCTGGATATCTGGAAGAACCTCTAGAGCTGATCTATTTTAAAGTATTTCAAAATATTCAACCCATCTGCCCATTTGATCTTTTGTGTTGGTGAGTACCCTTTTATGACTATTTTTTACTGACACATTTGGCTGGCTATAGTTGCCAACTAGTTTTTTTTGTTGTTGTTGTTGTTACTGTTAGGGTCTCAAAGGTTTCGTTTTGCTGCTGTTATCTCCGCTTCCTTTGCTGTTATTTAAACCTTTTACTTTAGCTTCCCTTTTACGCCAATTTCTTTATTAGCTATGGCGTATTTTTCATGAGCTCTAGCTTTAGCAGCTCTAGTTTCGCTATTGTTTAAGTCTGCCCTTTTACTTCACCTTTCTTCAATAATTTTAATGGTTTTTTGTGTTACCCACGCTTTATGTTTTTGTTCTTTCTTACCAAGGACTTTTAAACAAGATCCAGTCCAGATTTCCTTGATGTGATGTCAGCAGACTTCAGTGCTTACATCTTCAGCTAACTTTGGGTCAATGTGTCCGAGCACTTTTCAGACTTGTGTAGGTTTCTTATCACTTTGGGTGCTAAGTGTAGGGGATGGCCAGCTGCTAGCGCTACAGAATCAGAAGTTCAACAAATGATTCATGACAATTTCCGCCCAATTAGTGTGATTATCTAAACAGATGGCTCTGTGTTGAGGGGCAAACGAAGTGCATGAGGGTATATAGCAAAGGCGAATGGAAGCCGTTTAGTGCAGCAAAGCCTGGCATATGATATCACAACGTCTCATTTTAGAATGGAGGTGAAGGCAGTCACTGCTGAATTCCGCTGGCTTGAGAATCAGCTGTACACACATGCTCTTAAGTTCTCATCTATTCCAGTTTGAGCCAGCTTAAATAAGCATCAAGAATAATTTTTTTTTTTGAAGCAAAGGCGACAGGGGGTGCATTGACGACATTCCTCATTGAGCGGTTATTGTTCTGTACAAAACAAACGTAAAGCACCATATGCCAGGTGCGCTAAAGGCATAAGGAGGATCCTTTTTCTTTAGACGCAAAATGGTTGTTTTAAAAGCTCCAGGGAGTTTCGAACCTAGGACTATTGATGGGTAGCAGGTCCTTTATAGAACCTTGCTCCCATAAGTCGCCTTGTGTTTTCTGAAAGTCGCCCTTTAGTTTAAAAAAAATGTAGGTGTGTCTTAAAAATCGCCTGTATTTTTTGTTTAACCTAAAGTTTTCATTATTTCCCTAAAGTCGCATTATGTTTTCTAATAGTCACCTTTTTTTTTTCTAAAATGCCACATAATCCCTAAGTCTGAACCTCTCCCCCTCCCCTATCTCTCATCAAACAAGTCGACACCCGCACCTAACATTGTGACATGACACAAACCCCTGTGTTATAACTTTCCAGTTTTTACTCTAAATTAAATCACAGCACCATACGCAGTGATCCTTAATGACCACATAAACCCTCTCGTGTAAGTAGCTGATATGACAACTTAACATCCATGCTGCACGAGCGGCACCTTACATTGTGATACAGCACCCACTCTCTTGACAAATTTTTTACATTTTTGCTATATATAAAGTAGAAGCACAATATGCGGTGAACCCCAAATTCCTCTTATAAAAGTAGCTGACACAACAACTAGACCCCTCACTGATGACCGGAAACTAACATTAGGACACGACACCGCTCTTTTGCCATATTTGTTTTTCATTTATTCTGCACATTAAGTCATAGCACTATATGCAGTGACCCATAGTGACCCCTAAATTTCCTCTTGTAATTTATTGACACGAATATTTTTCTCTGAGTGTTTCACCGTAACCCAGCATTATGACATGACACCAACTCCTTTGAAATAACTTTTCTTTGTTCCCTATACAAAGTCACAGTCTTGGGAACACTAACAACTACAAACCCTCATTAACTAACTTAGACTACAGTTTAAACCCTCACTGAGCCGTCGGAACTTAACACTATGTTACGACACCCGCACTTTTGCCACAATTTGTTTTTCATTTTTATCTATATAAAGTCAAAGAAACATTTGTCCAGGAGACCTTGATGACCTTGCAATCCACAGCATGTTTTGTGGATGACCGCATATGCCCACCTAGTTGTATACCACAATAACCACAGCTCATCAGCTAGCAACAGACCATGGAGAG